GAAGCACATAGATAATATGGCACACTTTCTCTTATTCTATTTCCGTAAAAAAAAAAAAAAGGTCCCTGGTTGCCTCTGTTCCTCTTATTATTCTGCTCTGTTTTGTTTGTTCTTTCTTTGTTTGTTGTCTAATTTGCGTAGAGCAGGTTGGGAAGGATCCCCTACTGTTCCAGTCTTTAATGACATAATAACGCTGATGTGAACATCTCACTCGCTTAGTGTTTGAGTGTGTGAATGGTTGCGCTTCCTTGTTCTTGGACACTTTGTGGCATGCTGGTTGGTTAAGAACATAGCAGGGAGGGTATGAAAAGAAGTGACCTCAGCTGATTGGATTCATTACCCTGCATGAGAAAGCCATCATGTTCTATATTTTGGTTACTGTAAATTGTGAAGCCACAAAATAATAGTTTAGAAGTATACATGTTATTTATTAATATTAATACAGCACATTGCGCCTTATTTAAAAAAATTTTTTTTTTATTAATGAATAAATAATGAATAATTTTGTAATTTAATAATATAATAATTCAATTATTAAAGGTAAAGTAATTTAATTAATAATTTAATTAATCAATTATTTACTAAATAAAATCTTCAATCTTGATGCAGCAACAGGCTCAACCAATGACATGAGTTGGGCAGGGATATTTTTTTGATCACAACCAATGGGGAGAGTCAACCTGTCTGAAAACAGTCAATAAATTACACTTTAACAACAGATGCTAAAAAGCTTTAACAATGATTAAGCAATGATGGGCCATTCAACGATTTTCTATGCTCTTCCATATATATATATACACACATTTTTTTTTTGCATATTTGTCACACTTAAAAGATTCAGATCATCAAACACATTTTTGGGAACTCTCCCATGGATGCCGTTTTTCTCTGTCTCTTTCTTTTTGTTGAATCACGAGTGAGGCCTGCAGTTCTTTTAGATGTTGTTCTGGGTTCTTTTATGACTTCCTGGATGAGTCGTCGTTGCGCTCTTGGAGTAATTTTGGTAGGCTCAAATTCACTCCTGGGAAGGTGCACCACTGTTCCAAGTTTTCTCCATTTGTGGATAATGGCTCTGATCGTGGTTCGCTGGAGTCCCAAAGCCTTAGAAATGGCTTTATAACCCTTTCCAGACTGATACATGTCAACTATTTTGTTTCTCATATGTTCTTGAATTTCTTTAGATTGCAGCATGATGTGTTGCTCTTTAAGCATGCTTCACTTTGTCAGACAGTTTCTATTTAAGTGATTTCTTGATTCAACAGGTCTGGCAGTAATCAGGCCTGGGTGTGGCTAGTGAAATTTAACTCTGCTTTCTAAAATAATGTGGTTAATCACAGTTCTTTCATGATTTAACAGGAGGGGGCAATTCATTTTTCACGTAGGGCCAGGTAGGTTAGGACAGCTTTTTCCCTTAATAAATGAAATCATCATTTAAAAACGGCATTTTGTATTTCCTTCTTGCATTATCTTTGTGTAATATTAAAATTTGTTTGATGATCTGAATCTTTTAAGTGTGACAAATATGCAAAAAATAAAAGAAAACAGGAAGGGGCAAAAACCTTTTCACGGCACTGTACGCTGTATAGTAGTCAACATTTGAAGTGGATCAAAAAAGTGAATCTAAGTTGTCATAAGACACAAACGCATTTTGATTTTAGGTTTTAAGACAACTTTGATGAAAGATTTTGATCCACTTCAAATGTTGACTATACGGCCACAGATCAGATAACCTCTTCCATATGACAGAACTGGTCATCTGTGTGACTGACAGATCATTTTTGAGATGTAGTGTATGTGTATGTGTCATGTAATGGCAGGAGGCTATTAGGATGCACAGAGTCTCCACAGAGGGACAGAATTACTGATGAAGGGTAAAACAAATACGGCATTAGGGAGCTGTTAAATAATGATAGTGAATGCCAGTGTATACAGACCTCAGATCAGCCACATGTCCTCAGAGAAAGAGAGAGAAAGCGGTCGGTGGAGAAATGTCCGTGTATGCTGAGGGGAGGGCTGTATTTTTCAACAAGTAATACATATGTGTAATCAAGAACTTCAGTTTCACATCTGACTTGCACATTTATTCCATTACAGGAGCAATTTATGGATAGAGAATCTGTAATTGCCATAAGCTCACTGGATGTCCTTTGGGTAGTTTAACCCACACATCTGTGTGAAGGGTTAACTGGTCGGGAGACTATGTTCGGAGTCTGCCTCATTTCTTCTTAACACAGTCTTATAAATGAAAAGCACGCTGGGAGCTGCCTGTTAGGAGCTGTCAAATGGTTGCACAGCAATTATCTGCTAACGAGGATTAATCGATGCTAATTTACCTTTGGTTATTAAAAAAAAAAGAATGTAAAATTATACTTTTTTTGTATAAAGTGCTAACTTGGTGGCTGCCGTTGGCATAAAATAAAACCTTGTGTTTTTAAATAAACACCTGGGATTTTATGTCAATAGTGAAACATGTATGAACGGCCATTAAAATACTCATTAAAAAACAGTCTTGTCACCATTGTTTCTAATTTGAGGGCTTATTTTTCTCAGGCTGAGGTGTGCCAGTCTCAGGGGAGTTGGTCCCTCCCGAATGGCAGACAAAGGTCTGTTGGTGGGACCCCTTGAGGGCAATACTCAAAATGGTGTCTGTTCATGACACCCTGAACGGCAAAATGCACCAGTGGTAGTCCAGGACCTCCTAGTGTTCAAGAAAACAGTCACTTGCATGTATATCTCAGCCTTTACAGTACATTAAATTTGGTCATTTTATATTCTAAATTAACAACAAAGAAAAACACGCACTGTAACGATAGGTCGTGATAACTATTTCTATCCAATGAACTATTATTAAAACTATTACTGTCCAGACCGGGTCTTTAAACAAGCTTCGTGACCAAATGCCTTTATGCATCGAACAAATTAAACATCGCGCATCCTTGGGGTGCAGAATTTCTGTCCATTCCTTGGTCATCAAACTGATTCTAAATGAACCCTTGCTTTGGCTGTCTTTCTAATGATGGATTCTGCCATAGTCCTGGGATGTGTGAAAAAAACGCGAGTATTGTAGAGCAGAACAGGTAGGTTACCAGAGCAACGGGTGCCAACCGTCCGCTCCGCCCTCATCCGGTACAGAACAATGCAAGAGCTTGCTTTCCCTCTCCAGAATAAAAACGTACGAGGCACGATGTTGAAATAGTTGAGCATTACACTTGCTCAAAGTACGCTGTTTTTATTCAACGTTTAATGTTTGTTAAATGTCGCCCTAAATGACACATTGAACGGCGAGCGCGCGAGTGTCAGTGCCTGATGCCCACAGGAGGAGCAGACCCTCAAGTGGTCCACGAGAGCAGCTGAAGTCCCCCAAACACCCATTCCTCAGAACATACCTATTCATTTAGAGCAATATAGCTGTATTTTAACGTTCACCATATTGTTAGCCCCTTAGGAAAACTCTCCGTGCGCGCCCCGACATCCCCGACAATTGGGTACACGCGCTCCCGCCTCCAAACGTCCAGTGACACAAGGCAAAGTGAATAAAATAACGTTCTCTCAATAAACATTATCATGATTTGCTGGGATAATAAAACGGGCCTCGTTGTGGTTTTCTGTGACATCCCGATCCCGTCAGCAGGACAACGTCATGTCAATTCGTCAGATACCATTACTACACCGCCGTTATTGCTAAGAGGGACCGGCGTTGCTATGGCAGCCAGCTCTCAGAGTAAGACTGTTCTGCCCGGTTGGGGTGAGGGATGAATATGCTCGGTCAACCCGAGGTGTAAGATTGAAAAGTTGCGCACAGCAATGTGGGTTGCGCGTAGGTGGAATCAAACGAGCGCTGTCCCGAAGCATATTGAGAAAGGGCTCCAGCATCAGCTGAACCATACTGAGAGTTAAAGTCTCACAATCACACACACACACACACAGAGCGAGAGAGAGAGAGAGATACACGATTCACTCACATATAGTCAACTGAGAAAAAAAAAACACTTTACCGTAGACTTGACAGGGACGTACAGGACGGGCTTCCCCGATGTCTCTTTCTTGTTGTGCTCGCCCAAGATGTTGCTGCCGACTTGAAAGCCTTTGGACTTCACCCAGAATTTGAATTTGGCGTTGATGTGGCTGTTGTCGACATAGACACCGTCCGACTCCTCGTTCTGTAGCAGGGTCTGCATGATTTTGTTGTATTTTCGGCGCGTCACGGTCTTTGTTTTACCCGAGTCTCCGTAAGTCCGGAGACACCAGTCCTGAAATTCGCTGAACATCTCAGCCTCCAGCACGACGGGACTTCGGCTCCTTTTTGTTAAATCCGCGCATGGTTTCTTAGTTGCCATCCCTTCCTCTTTGTGAGCCGCGAGCCCCTTTTCGAAACGATCAAATGCAACTACAAAGCCTGAAAACGATAGTAGACTCCCCCTCCTCTCCCTGTCCCGCTACGAGGATGATCGCTTCGACACCGGTGCTGGAGGTCCACTTCCGCTAAATAAGGCGAAAAAAGTCGTTTTATGCGTGCCTTTTTTGGGAAGTCGCACACCTGTTTGCAGAGACGCCTCGCCTACTGTCCCAAACCGCAACGGCAAATGTCACTTGCACACATCATCCGCTGAGGAACTGAGAGAGGGGGCTGTCCTACCAAGCGGGTATCTCCCACCTGTGCGTAAACGGCTCGAGGACCAGAGCAAGTGGGAAAAACCCCGAGGGTCGATGCCGTAAATGTAAAAAACAAAAACACACACACAATCTTTGTGGCTCCAGGAAGGGGTAAAAAGAGCTCGGCGTGTAACAGACTTTAACGGCCCACTTTTCAAACGACCGGCGCGAGACAGCGTTCTAAAACGGGATGTGGCACAAGCCTGTTGATGTCATCCGGGCGCGAGAATCTTCAGCAAAAACGACTCGAATTCTTTTAATAGCAATGTTTCAAACAAAAAACGCTATGCGGGTTAAAACAGACCGCCTTCACGAGCCGCCGTCACGAGATAGGACTTGTCCCACTCTTTCCACCTGTTTGAATCGGACCTGCGCGTGCAATGCTGCCGCCACCACGCTAGAGACCGTCCCAAATTGACCTTTCTCGTTAAGAATCTATAGGATTTAATAGCTACTGTCAGTTTTGTGACAGAAACGTCTTCCGTGGCTTACAATGAAATAAAAAAGCAGCCGTAACGAAGTAGACTATGTTTTTGTAGCTAAGTCTCTTTTTTTCAGGAAGTAGACGGTGCAGCGCGTGGACGCAGTGGTTACAAAGCGGGTAGGCAGTATCTGGTGTCGCAATAAAGAGAACATTTCCGATACAAACAAAAGGGTGAAAGGACTTTATATTTCTATTAATCAACAAAGTAAAAACACTCCTATTGCGTAGGCTACATACTGAAACATATTAAATGAAATAATCCACATAATACATCAGCATGGTTCAGATGTTTTTGTTCTATTGTAAAATGACAATGATTACAAAACAATAATAGCAATGGAATTTAAGTCATCATTTTTTAGTAGCAGGCTATAGGGATTTGGGGGTATGTTGAAGTACCCCGTTCTAAACAATTTTACACTAATATACAAAAGGTTCAAATAAAACAATGTAGGCCATAACAATATTTATATAAGTAAACAAAAGCCAATAATTTGTCCCATTTATAATCATGCACTTTATAAATACACTGAATGTACAGTGAAAAGTTACCAGAACAGAAAACAGTTCACTATCCTTTACAAAGGATATTTTCTTCTATTTAAAAATGTGTTGAGTAAACTAGTTTAAAACGATCCGTTTCCTTATTTTGATGGTTTATTAACTTAGCATGAAGAAGGATTCTGTTGGTCCAACTCTTAAGTGTTCAGGTAAATTGAACTGAGTGCTGTTGTTGAAGTAACATTGTAATTAGCTCAGCAGCACTCTGCCCACTTGTGAATATGAATAGATTATGTATTGATGTTTATGATAACAATAAAATGATAAATAGTGAAAATAGTCACTGTTAATTTCCAAGTTGATCTTTTTGAGAATTACTATTATATGCGCCTATGTAGTTAATAGATAATTCTTGGCATCTTAGGTTATTGTTATGTTGTGATATGTGGTGTGTGTGTGTGGTCCAGTGTGTTTAAAGTGTCCTCTGATGTCAGGTTCTGTGTGTGTATTTGGTCTGTAAATGTCTAATATGCTCTGTGACAGTGTGCTCATGTTTGGTCATGTATGTGTACATATTAGTTGTGTTGTGTTAGTGCGTGTCCGCACTACGTGTGAGTGCTGGTATGTGAGCATCCTCTCTTTCTCTGTGTAGTGCGAGTGCTCCGGGGCTGTGTCGAGGACCATGCTGGGACTGCTGGTGATGTCGGCTGCTGTTGCTATGACAGCAGCTCAGCTCCAGCAGCTGAAGAAGCAGAACAGGCCGCCTGTATCTGCCCCATCCAGACTGCATTGCCTCACTCCAGAATCTTCTCTCAGTCCTAGAACCTGTTTTGAGTTCTAAAAGGTTTCCCTGGGTCTGGAATCACTTCAGCATTTCGGAATCCTCCCTGAGTTCTGGAATTCTGTCGAAAGGTCTGGGATTCGATGGATGAAACTGACAGGAATGTGTCACTTTGATGTTCTCTGATTCTTAAAGGGGTATTGTACCTTGTTTAACCATGTTCATTTTGCCCAGCAGCTAGTATTGACTAGTCAGTTTCAATAAAATGTTTGACTGACAGCTCTAAATCCTCTATGATTGGCACAGCCCTGCATATCTGTCCCAGATGTGACTCCTTTAGTTTGAAAAGATATTAACAAACCAATTACCATCACGGCAAGGCTATATTTAGATTAAATTGATTTTGGTAGAAAATTTATTTAAATCAATCATTTTTTCCCTTTTTTTTCTTAGTGAGAGTTATCTCATTATTTTTAATAATATATTTCTCAGAAGAAATATTATTTTTAATGTTTTAAACGGCTTGATAATACAGAAAAATTGTGCAGTTTTTCATTGGTCTTGCAACTGTATTGCATTAACCTGTGTAAAAGGATAAACAATGTTAGAATATAGCAACGTGTGGGCACATATTAAACTAATTACTTCATCTTTCCAACACCTTGAAGTGCCATAAAAGATACATAATTTAAAGTTGGCTAATTAGTAACTACATCAAGTCAATTATGAACAAGATAGCTAAGTTAGAGTGATTTAGTAAAACAATGGCCCTTGAAATTAGGCATTTAATTGCTAAAAATAATTCAAGCTATATTTTTATAGTATTTTATGTGATTATATTAATTATAATCATTAGTATAGAATAGTGGAGGCATTTTACATAAATCTATAAAATTGTAAAAATAAAAATAAAAAAAGTAAAAATTATAATATAAATAACTACTGTTATTTATTGCTTATGGGACATGGCTTTTCATAGAATACTGTATTATAACAGGCAGAAACATTTTTGACAGGATTTGTAAAATTTGCTTGAATGATTGACAACCAAAAAAAAATTTTGGTCACAAATATCTGCCTTTTGAAAAATATATGTGGGTCAATATCACCATAGAGTGCCTTTCAACCCTCACAATACTCAAAAATGTTAGTTTTAATTTCCCAATTCGCTTTATGTCATATCATAAATAGTAGACACTCAAGTACTAGAAATATTAGCTGAGCTCCCACACATTTTTTTAGATAATTATGGGCCATGATTCGAAGCATAAATGATAAGATATGTCCACCCTGTCATGGACATATATATTACTGTTAAATACGTTTTCATTGCAAAATTAATATGCAAATTATATTCTGAAAGGTATGATGTCCCTTTCCTAAACAGGGTTATTAAAAAATTATATAATAATAATAAATAATATAATTACATTCTCAAACATGAATGATTGACAACCCAAAAAAATTTTTGGTCACAAATATCTGCCTTTTGAAAAATATATGTGGGTCAATATCAACATAGAGTGCCTTTCAACCCTCACAATACTCAAAAATGTTAGTTTTAATTTCCCAATTCGCTTTATGTCATATCATAAATAGTAGACACTCAAGTACTAGAAATATTAGCTGAGCTCCCACACATTTTTTTAGATAATTATGGGCCATGATTCGAAGCATAAATGATAAGATATGTCCACCCTGTCATGGACATATATATTACTGTTAAATACGTTTTCATTGCAAAATTAATATGCAAATTATATTCTGAAAGGTATGATGTTCCTTTCCTAAACAGGGTTATAAAAAAATTATATAATAATAATAAATAATATAATTACATTCTCAAACACATTGATATACCCTCCCCCATTCATTTGAGTTTTTAGCAATATTAGCTACAAATGAATGCTATGTCCATCCTGTCATGTTTATGTCCACTCTATCGAGTCTAAGTGGCCGACAGGGTGGACATTTTGAGCTTCAATTAGCATATTAGCTTACAACAAACTGTGACTAGCCTAATATTTAGTCTGGTTGTTGAAGAGAATTTGGTATATTTAAACGTACATATTTTGAAAATACTGTAACTTCTGGCATATTTTATGCTGACCGGGTGGACATGTTAAGCTTTGGCAAAGCAAGTAAGCAAACTCATACGAATAAAATTTGTCAATTAGTCACCAATTTACTAACCTCAGCCAATGAAATTCCCAATGAAAAACACTCAAATTGAGTATGTCTTATTTAACAAAATATTAATAGGAGAATTTTTACAAAAAAATTTATGATTTGACAATATTCTACTATCATTCGAATTCAATGAGCAGTGCATTGGACATAGCAAAATAACACGCATCCTCTTACACAAAACTAAAGAAAATCTAGAAAATGTATCTAAAGGGCCAAGTAATGCATTTGTTATGAATATAAAAACTTAGCCTAATATAACACACCCTTTCATAGTCATTTTTATGTTATCATGGCAAATAAGTTATGTACAGGATACCAAAAGGCACCCTACAGTGATATTGACCCACATATAGTTGTTCCACAGGTATGTGGACTTAAGAAATGTAATTCCATTACACATAGTTTAAGCTTAAGTTTGAAGTTAGTGTCAAACATGTAATTTTTTTTTATTTCATTGTATTTTTCTGAGACAAATAGAATGTAATTAAAAACATCTAATTAGATATTTCTTTTGTTGATGATCATTCAGATGTATTGAACACATTCTATGTGTTTTGGGCAGTCATTTCCCACTTTAAATGAAATTTAACTTATTTTATAATAAGCCATAATTAAGCTTACATAACTGTAACCACACCTCTATACAAACTCTCGCTGCAATATGCTATTCAGGTGTGAATTTCTCTTAGTTTCATCATTTTGACCGAACTCTGGACAGAGATGTGCATATTTCAGGTCCGGCCCATGATTGGTCTGTTTCGGGCCTGAGCATTCTTTCTGAGTTAGCAGATCAACTCACATGACTAATCGCTGACAGGCAGGGATGTTAAAAGCAGAGCTAAAATTTTTATATCATGCCTT